ACTACTTAATAACAATTTCATGAAAGATAAATCCAATAATCAAAAAATAAATAAATTTCAAAACTAAAATTTTGTGTAACGTGCATCAACAGTGTGGAACAAAGCAGTAAAAGATATAATGTAACTTTTTGATTAAAAATATTTTTTTTTAATGTTTATTATTTTTGAGACAGAAAGACAGACAAGTACAAGCAGGGGAGGGACAGAGAGAGGCACCTGAAGTAGTTCATTGATGTCAGCACGAGTTATTCAGGCTCTGAAACTGAATTCAACACGAGCTACAAGCTGAAGCCTGATGCTTAACTGACCTGGACTGAGCCACCCAGGTGCTCCTATAATGTAACTTCTTTAAAATTTGGAACAACCTGGAGCGCCTGGGTGGCTCAGGAGGTTAAACTTCTGACTTCACCCCAGATCATGATATTGAGGTCAGTGGGTTCGAGCCCTGTGTTGGGCTCTGTGCTGACAGCTCAAAGCCTGGAGGCTGCTTTGGATTCTGTGTCTTTCTCTTTCTCCTCACGCTCCACTCATGCTCTGTCTCTCTCTCTCTCTCTCTCTCTCAAAAATAAACATTAGAGGGGCACCTGGGTGTTAGCTCGATGCGGTTAAGCGGCCGACTTTGGCTCGGGTCATGATCTCACGGTGTTTTGGAGAGCCCAGCGTCGAGCTCTGTGCTGACAGCTCAGAGCCTGGAGCCTGTTTCAGATTCTGTGTCTCCCTCTCTCTGACCCTCCCCCGTTCATGCTCTCTCTCTGTCTCAAAAATAAATAAACGTTAAAAAAATTAAAAAAAAAAAATAAACATTAGAAAATTAAAAAAAATAAAATTCTGAACTTAAAAATTTTCATATTTATCTAATTATTTATTTTAAAAATGTTTATTTATTTTTAGAGAGCGTGAGTGGGATGGGGGGGGAGAGAGAAGGAGAGAGAGAATCCCAAGCAGGCTTATGCTCAGAGCACACACCAGCCCGGGGCTCATCTCATGACCATGAGATAATGACCTGAACCAAAATCAGGAGTCAGAAGCTTAACCAAATGAGCCATCCAGGCACCCCTATTTCATGTTTTAGATACTCTGCCAATATTTAGCATAGTGATTTTATTGATAGTGGGGTATTTAATGCAATTTATTAGCACTGTGGCTTAAATAATTTTGTCTTAGAAATGAAGTTTGTTTTAAAGAAATAAAATAGAGTCTATTTTAAAGAAATGTTGTTTTGAGGCTTTTGTGCTCCACCCTCAAGTAATAAATTTATTTTCCCTGTGCAAAATAACTGTAGCATTAAAAAATATATAAATAATGTCTACATCCAGCATGGGGCTTGAACTCACAATCCTGAGATCAAGATGCTCCACCGACTAAGCCAGTCAGGAGTCCCCTATTCAAATTTATTTAGCAAGTGCTTTCTATGTTAGCCACCATCCTAAGCACCTTGCATATGGCATCTCATTTAAAGTTCATAACTCACAGGAGCATTATCATCCTGACTTTACAGCTGGGGAGGTCAGGGATATTCTTGGGGCTCTCTGCTGATGAGAGCTGGGGTTAGGAACTCAAGTCTTCCTGCAGCAAAGCTTAAAGCCACTATGTGTGTTCTGTCCCAGGGCTGTATCATCTTCAGACCTGAGGGCTGATGATTACACTTGAATATGTACTTATAATACTCTCTGGATCCAAATTCTAGGTCAGTTTTCCAATGCCAGGTTTTTCAATCTTTTCTAACAGCCTCTGTCAAATTCCTGCACAAATCGTGCCCAAATTAGTTGCATATTAGAGTTGGACTAGAGGGGTGCCTGGGTGGCTCAGCCGGTTGTGTCTGACTCTTGATTTTGGCTCAAGTCATGACCTCACGGTTCATGAGATCGAGCCCTACACTGGGTTCTGTGCTGGCAGTGCAGAGCCTACTTGCAATTCCCATTCTCTCTCTCTCTCTCTCTGCCCCTCCCTCACTTGTATTCTCTCTTTGAAAAATAAACTTAAAAAAAAAAAAGCTAGGCTAGATACTGAAATTGGCCCTCACCAAACAGCTGTGAGTGAATGCCATAGTGATCTGAATGCCAACTACATGCAAGGGAAGCATGTTTGCCACAATGTTTTTTTTGTTTGTTTGTTTGTTTTATTGTTTTTACATAAGCTCTACACCCAGCGTGGGGCTTGAACTCACAAACCCAATATGGAGAGTTGCATGCTCTAAGGCCTGGTCAGCTGGGCACCCCCAATATTTCAGGTGGGTAATTAAAGATTAGTGTGACCCAGTTCAAGTTGTTTACTCCTTGATCATGATTGAAAGCTTAAGAATGTAGTCATGTCCCTAAACAGAGGTCCATTTCATTTTGCTTGCTTGTTGTGAGTAGACACACACAAGTTCAATTTCACTACTGTCCTTGCCTTTTATAAAATTCTCAGCTTTTACTTTCATTTTTTGTCTTTGAGGAATTTCAAAATCCAGTCTTCAAAAATAGCATTATCACATATGTGTCCTCCACATGTATCAGCATTTCTCTCAGTCATTTGAAAGGGACACATGTATGGATATTTCCTACTTAAAAATCATTGCATGTAATTGTTTGCCAGATCCTTACTCTGTTCCTTTCAGGGGTTGTTAAATTCTTTCATGCTTTCCAATTGTAACATGTTTAAGCAGAGTTCTGTAATTAATTGGTCATCTCCTTAGAGTGAATTCCAAGCATTTTGAGTTGGAGTGCTAGAGTGAGCTGCATCAATGCAGAGGACCATGTCTGTACTCACTATTGTGTCCCTCTGCATCATACCTCACTTGCTAATGTTCTAGTCACAGGATACCATTCCCATAGAATAGCATGAATGGTGCCCCCTAGTGGATGCAGTACTGGTACTGGGAGGGCAGCACAGCTGGAAAACCCAGTTCACATTCATTACTGGTAGCTCTCTCCTTCCTATCCCTCTGAAAGCTTTCAGGATTTTTATTATTATTTTTTAATGTCAATGATTCCTACATTTAAATACCAGGAGGGACAATTCTACATTTGTCAGACTTTTCATGGGGTGGCAATATCACTCTGTCCTCAGTTGATGCACATTGAAGGCTCTCCCGTCAACTCCTTGGCTGGTCCTGCAAGCTGCACTCTTAGAGCCAGTGTAGGAATAGGGACACTCTACTGGGAAGCAGTCTCATGAAGGATGGAAGCAGGGCTGTCCAAAAACTGTATGCTACATTCAGTAAATGGTAAGAAATGATCTTGCAGTTCGTGAGTCTGAACACCACTTCAGGGTCTGTGCCGACAGCTCAGAGCCTGGAGCCTACTTTGGATTCTGTGTCTCCCTCTCTCTCTGCCCCTCCCCCTCTCAGGCTCTGTCTGTCTCTCTCTCAAAAAATGAATAAACATTAAAACAAAAAATAGGAATGGGGCTTTAGGGAATGTATGAATAAAAGACAAATAATATACTCTGAATTCCATTGTCGTCCCAGACTATTATCTATATAAAAGATGACAGGGGCGCCTGGGTGGCTCAGTGGGTTGAGCGCCCGACTTCAGCTCAGGTCATGATCTCGCGGCTCGTGAATTTGAGCCCGGTGTTGGGGTCTGTGCTGACAGCTTGGAGCCTGGAGCCTGCTTCGGATTCTGCGTCTCCCTCTCTCTCTGCCCCTCCCCTGCTCATACTCTCCCCTGTCTCTCTTTCTCAAAAGTAAATAAACATTAAAAAATTTTTTTAAGGGGCGCCTGGGTGGCGCAGTCGGTTAAGCGTCCGACTTCAGCCAGGTCACGATCTCACGGTCCGTGAGTTCGAGCCCCGCGTCAGGCTCTGGGCTGATGGCTCGGAGCCTGGAGCCTGTTTCCGATTCTGTGTCTCCCTCTCTCTGCCCCTCCCCCGTTCATGCTCTGTCGCTCTCTGTCCCAAAAATAAATAAACGTTGAAAAAAAAAAAAAAATTAAAAAATTTTTTTAAAAAAAGATGACAGATGCAGGTTAATGTGACTCTTGGTAGTTTCATCATTTAAAAATGAATTGCACTTCTACTCATTCTTATAATAAACAAAAATGCTAAGAATCAACACACTGAGGTCCTTGCCCCTGGAATGTGGCTCAGGCTGGAGATACAGAGGGCTACAGGCGCTGCAGGCCAGGGACTGAGGCAGCCTGGAGATGGTAGACCACAGCTCTTCAAGTCCGTGATAAGGACTGGCCTCCAATGAATCTCCACTACAAAAAAAATGGGAAAGAAACAACATGAAGAGCACAAAGGTTGAGGAGGCGGGGCCCAAACATGTGGTAGAAAATGTCCTAGGCTAACATGGAGTGAACGAGTGAATGGGAAGTGGGAGTATCTCCCAGGGTGGAAGGGATTCAAAGATGCTGACAGCCCTTGAGAACTGGAAGAAAACTTGATTCTTGTCTCTTAATTTTCAAAAAGCTGGTAAAGATGGCACAAAAAGAACATCTTTATCTGACAGTGGACCTGATGATAGCAAATGAGAGTCAACTGACAAAATCAAGCGGCTTTGACCACAGTTATCAATGAGAATTAATGTTCCCCATGAAACGGAAAGATTTAAATGAGGCCGACTTAGCAATGGCAATCAAAACCATAATGTTCTCAGATTGTAATTGCTTTTTATGAAGAGAGGCTAATTTGACATTTTTGCCCAGAAAATGAAGCTCAATACTGTTTGCATTGCAAGCTATAAATATATAAAGCTAATCTGGATCCTGACTCTCTTTCTCCCCTAGCGTGAAAGAATACCTACATTCTCATGAAAATTGAGTTTGATGTATTCATTTTGAAGTAGTATTTGAGGGGAAGTCGAGGTTTTTGTGTATCCACAGCACTAGTTACTTCTAACAAATCAAAGTGTTCTACGGTTGTTTCATTTATCACACATAAAAGAATAATCAATATACAGCTCAACCTTGTTAGTAAACAAAATGCAAACTAAATTCAGGTATTTAGTCTAATGTCTAATGTTAGAAAAAACAATGCTCGATTCTTGGAAGCTTTTAGTGAAATAGCTACATTTTAATTACTGAAGACAGTATAAATTGATGTAACTCTTATACCAAAAAATTTGGAAATATGTCAGGTCATGAAAATGTATATACCCTTTGACCTGGTAAATCTCACTGCTGGGAACTTATACAAAGAAAATCAAAAACAAAGAAAAAAGGAAAAAGCTCTCTGTATATAAATATGTTACAGGAATAAGAAACAACCTGGAAACAACCTAAATGCCTAGTTAGGGGAATGGCTAAGTAAATTATACAACTATACAGAATAGAGGTTTTAAAGTTGACAATTAGCAGACTTTATAGCAGCATTTTTTTTTAAAAAAAGGCAAGTTACAATACTGCAATATTTCAATAATGAGTACAAATTGAGAGAAATGATGCATTTGGAAAAAGATGAAGTGGACATATAGTTGTTCACAGTGGTAAAATCAGGTGAATTCTCTCACACTTTATGCCATGTTTTCACACACAGGAAGAAATATATTCATATTATCAGATGCATAAATCTTAAGTCAAAATTGATTCAGATGTCCAAAAAAGGTGCTTTATGAAAAAGATGGAGGGAAAGCTTCTTATTTTGGGATCCCTTTTAAGCACACTTCTTAGTTAACAGTAGATGTGTAGTAAGTGTGTGTGCTGATTAAGTAAAGAATTTCTAGTCAACCAAATGCCCCATGTGCCCAAGTATCTCCACGCCAGATAAAGCCCAGGAAGGAAAATAATGCTTTTGCCCCAGGCTGAGCACTAACTCTCTCCTACATACTAAGTATTCAACCACAGAATAGTAAAAAAAATATATATTAGGTGCTAGATCCTAATACAAGACAAGAATTCAATCTAAAAATTTCTAGAAAGATAATTAAAATACTTCTAGTTTTAATTATGTTAATCACAAAACTGATGACACTGGGATATTTTCCTCATCTGAAATAATCAGTATCAAATGTTATGCCTAACATAAAGAACTAGTATTTAACCATTTTTACGTCATTATTTGTAAGTGCTCTTCTGTTTCAAAACTAATTAAATTTGCCTTCAGCATTTTGTTGCAGAGTTTTGGAACCAGCTCCTTTAGAATGCTCTAACAGCTTGATGGCCTTGTCAGAGTTTTCAATATTTCTAAGCAGAGTCTCTAATCTTCTCTTAATTTTCTTCTGATCTTCAAGAGCACAGCCAATCACTATGGACTGAAACTTCTGGTCAACAGGCCCAGATGGCACCTCAGATGAACAAGCACTGTACAGTGACATCAAGTGACTCTTGGCGTTTCCCAAATCATCCAGAAACTTACTGACCACCTCATCAATAATCCTGGTGGCATGCTTTAAGGATTCTTGCTGCTGGGGATTTCTAATAGTTTCTACTGAAACTTCAACGGTGAGCGTTCTTCCCATCAAACGGTTTGCCGTCAGATTTAATTCTTCTCTTTCTCCTAAACGTAGAAAGTTTAAAGTATCGATCAATATGAGATATAAATTTATCGATGTTGAGAACACAAAGGCATTCTTTTGTGGCTAAAGCTATTTTCTGTAGTGCCTCTGCTATGAAATTTTTAGAGTAAAAGTTAAAACTATAGCACATAAGATTAACTATGTGTATTACAAAGAGAGGTTGCAGAATACCTTTCCCTGAAAGTCTTTATACGTGGGATACCAGATGACTTCTCAAGTGGTCATGTTTGAAAAAGTTTGGGCGGGCATGCATCTGTAACTGGGATGGAGATCAAGTCTTAACACAGAGTGAATAGTGAACATAACCAGGGCTTTGTGCTGAGTAGACAAGAGATCAGATATGGTGGATCTCTCCATACGGATGTGCACGTAGGGGAAGAAAAAGAATTTTCCCTGTACCTTTCTGAGCTCTTGGCTGAGAAACGTTGTAATAAAAGACAGATTCACAAGAAAAAAAACCCAGAAGTTTATTAATATGTATACTTCAAATATACATAAGAGATTGCCAGGGAAACAGAGATGGTCTAACTCCCTGAGATGGCCTGAGCCACCACCTTAAAAACCATCTTCAGCTAAGGACTAAGATGTTGAGAGAGGTCTTCCCCTCCTTAGGGAGGTTACTAGGAAAAGCAGGATAAACCAGGCTAAGGCTGTTTTGCAGATGTAGTAGGTGCTTTCTGCATAGATAAGAGTTTCTTGTGACTTCCAGTCATCCTTCTTTCTGGTACACAGAGTTCCTTACAAATGGAACTTTCCTTTGTAAATTTAAACTTCCCTTACAAAAGAATGACTTCTACTCTGTTTTCAGAGCTTCTCCTGTGTCTGCAGTTTCTCAGAAATAATCAGCTTGAAATAATTCTCATGCCAAGAGGTATACTTTCGGATGACATAGTCTGCACGTGTATCAGAATACAATGACCCAATTTTGGCTGACAAAAACTTAGCCACAGTAGTGGAGAAAAAGCTGGCCTCAGAATGAGACACCGGCTTCATCTTCTCCAGCCAAATTTAAGCAGGCCAGTAGTATAAGTCTTGGCCAGCACAGAGAGGCAATGGTGGGGAGAGGGGCGCTGGGTCAACATTTCATTATTTATATGAAAAAGTCAGCAATCTTATGTGTGTTCTGTTCTGTGACTTCCTTCCTAATTCATGGATCTTTGGCCAGGATGGGGAAAAGACTGGCTAGGTCTTAACCCCGCTGTGCATGTCTAACATTTCAGGGCCTGGAGTTAGATGGCACATTCATGGCACCAGCTGCTGGCCTATTAGCTTGTCCCGGGAAGCACCAGGGCAACCAAATTAGGAAGACCCACTGCTAGTGAAAGGAAATTACAAGTACCCTGTTTCTCCATGGGCAGTCATGCTTTTCGTATGGAAACAATAGCACATTTTTACATTAATGGGGTTTTATCGGGTCCATAATTTATTTCCCCTGCATTTTCTCTCCTTCCTCTCTTTAAGTTACACCTCAACCCCTCCCTTTGTGTCTTCTCTGCTTTTATACTTCTATGGTCCAATAACTTCTGAGGAGCTGAAGTTAGAAGTGTCAGCCTGAGGTCAAAGCCACAGCCTTACTGCTCGGGGCTACCTCTTCTGGAGCTTAGAGGCCTTTTCTACCATTTCCGATCATGTCCCTGAGGTAAGGGGTGGGCCAGAAGGGTGACCTCTGGGTACGTGGCTCTTGTTGTAATAGACTGACAGCTGCGGCTGCTGTCTGCTGCTCACGGGAGATGCCAAAGCCAGGCGTGCTCATTCCTCAAGTCAAGCGAACACGGACCCATGTGTATCCCAAATCCCTTCACGGAGTGGAAAAGATGAGCTCCCTTCCATGGAAATGCTCTCACCATCGCTGATCTGCCTCATGTCCTGGCTATTCTGGATGCTGTGGATCATCTCCAGGAGGATTTCTTTCTCTTGCTCCACAGCAGTTGCCGCTTCTCTCAAAGCCTCCACCCTGTAGAAATTGGGAAAACAAAAGTTACCATATGGAAATTTAGTTTTCCTCATCTCTATCATGTGCTCCAACTCAAGTTTCAAGATCACTAGGAGCACCTTTCAAAAATTCTTTATTCCTTTTTAAAAAGTTCTTTAACTTTTCTATTGTTTTGAATCCACCTACCCCACTCCCATTTTCCTCCCTGCTTGTATGGCGACCATTCTGTTTAGTGTTTATCTATTTTGTACTTGTTCTTAACAAAATGTGTATTTGTGTTTTCACCTATTTTCAATTTATATCTCACTCTGTTTCCCCTCAGCATTATTTTATTAAGAACCATCCAGCTTCCTATGTGAACATCTAGTCAGTAGCTTCTGATTGCTGCATATCATATACTTCATGCATATCCAGCTGGTTTTACATCCACTCTCCCAGTGGAGACACCCACCTTATCCCCTCACTTTCCATCACCACAAAAAATGCTTACACGAATACATGTCCCCTCATGGACTGAATGAGAATCTCCTTAGGATGTATCCCAGGGCAGGATTGCTGAGACAAGGGTACAATTGTTCTCTGGAATGGCTATGCTAGACCACTGTTCGGAAGCAAGAATTCTTGTCCCCTCAAAGGTCCTTCTAGATGGACCAAGAATTAAATTGACATGAGACAGATCAAGAGGAGAAAATCAAATATAACAGTGTACATTGGAGGAAATTCCAAAGATGGTCAGGCAAAATGAGGTGTATACGTCATTGTGAATGAAGAAAGAGGGAGTAGGGGTCTGGGACTTCGGACAAAAGTAATATACTTCACAGGGTGAAAAGAAGAGCAGATGTTTGGTAATTAGATGTTTGCCTTACCAAAAAGATGGGCCATTCAGATAAAATTTATCTCTGTTTATAACCCTTATTTTGGGAAAGACCCCTAATTTAGATTCTTCTGTGTGGTTAAGGGAGGGGTAAAAGTTTCTCTTGAGCCTGCAAGTTCTCAAGTGCCTTCAGCTCAAAATAACCCACATGCCAAAGTGGCACATTCTGGGGGGCCCTGTCCTGAACTCCTTGACAATATTCCCAGCAGCAAAGCAGAGGAATCCCTGTGTACCCAAAGCCCTACCGATACTCAGCATTTTCCAACTTTCTACTTGTTGCCAGTCTAGTAAGTGTGCAGTGATATGTTCGTACCTAACTTGCATGTCTGTCATTACTAATAATTTTGGACATCTCTTTGTATTCTTGTTAGCTTCTTCATAGCCTGTACCTATTTTCACTTCATTTCATTTTCTTTTTCCCCCTCCCTCCCTCCCTTGTTTATCTTTTTTAAACAGGGGTTACTGTCCTCTTGTTGATTTGCATGTTCAAGTAATTAATCCCACATTAGTTAAAGACATAATTATCTTCTCCCATTCTATCATACATGAATTTTGTCTGGGATATCCTTCACCGAACAGACATCCTTACTTTGAAGTGATCAAATTGATCTTTTCTTGCTTTTCTTTTGCCTCATGGTTTATGCTTTTGAAGTTTTGCTTCAGGATCTTTCCATCCTAAGTCCTAAGATATTTTCCTACATTTCTATTAACTTTATTGCTTTATCTTTCTCATATTTATGTTTTAGTCCATCTAGAATCCACCTTGTATGTGTTTAGGTAAGGATTTTGCTTTATTTTCTCCAAATAGTGAACCGGCTTCTCCAACATTCTATCCACCAAAAATCTACCTTTCCTCCAATGATTTATAGATTGTCTACTCTTAGAAATCTCTATTTCATTCACTAGTATATTTGTTCTTTTTTAATGTTTTTATTTATTTTTGAAGGAGAGGGACAGAGCATGAGCGGGGGAGGGGCAGAGAGAGAGAGAGACACAGAATCCGAAGCAGGCTCCAGGCTCTAAGCTGTCAGCACAGAGCCCGATGCAGGGCTCGAACTCACAAACTGTGAGATCATGACCTGAGCCGAAGTCGGATGCTTAACTGACTGAGCCACCCAGGTGCCCCTACTAGTATATTTGTTCTTACACCAACACCCATTTTTTAAAAAACAGCAACAGCCTGGTAATATGCCTTAATATTTGGCAGAACTAGTCCCCTAATCTTAAATATAACTTAGCTATTTAGACTTTTAATTCTCCATATTAACTCTAGAGTAAGTTTATCAGGTTTCTCAAAGAACTGAGATAAATTTGGCATCTTTAGCATACTGCCATTCTATCCAGAAGCATGATGTGTCTTTCCATCTATTCAGATCATCTTCTATCTTCTCTATTTTTATTTTTTTATTATATTTTTAAGATTTTATTTTTGGGGGGCACCTGGGTGGCTCAGTTAAGTGTCCTGTCTGACTCTTGATTTTTGGCTCAGGTTATGATCTCACAGTTAGTGAGTCCGAGCCTGGCATCAGGTTCTGTGCTGCTGGTGCAGAGCTTGCTTGGGATTCTTGCTCTGCTCAACATGTTCTCTCTCTCTGTCTCTCAAAAAAATAAACTAAAAAAAAAAAAGGATTTTACTATTTTAAGTAATCCCCGCACCCAATGGGAGGCTTGAACTCACGACCCTGAGATCAAGAGTCACATGCTCAATTGACTGAGCCAGCCAGGCACCCCTCTTTTATATTCTTAGAGTTTTGAAGTATTCTTTAAAAAATTTTTAAATATATTTTTTAAAGCTTATTTATTTTGAGAGAGAGAGAGAGACAGAGAACATGAGCAGGGGAAGGGCAGAGAGACAGGGAGAGAGAGAATCCCAAGCAGGTTCCACACTGTCAGTGCAAACCCTGATTTGGGGCTTTAACTCACAAACGATGACACCATGACCCGAGCCGAAACCAAGAGTCGGACACTTAACCAACTGAGCCACCCAGGTACCCTGAGTTTTGAAGTATTCTTAATGGTAGTCTTTGTGGACTCTTCTGAGTGCTTTGATCCTTTGAGGATACTGTTGTTATTGTGAATATTTTAAATTATAATTTCTTTCTGGTTATTGCTGGTTGGAGAAATGCTGCTTTTAGAAGGTTCATCTTGTACTTGGTAACTGATTTATTTATTAATTTTAATAATTTATCGTTTGATTCAGTGATTCGTCTAGATTGGTGGGCATATCATCTGCACAAAATGGCAGTTTTAATCTCTTCCTTTTCAATCCTATCAGCTCCTATTTTAATTTATTTTTAGTATTGAGTAAAGTCCTCTGTTACTTTATTAAGCAGTGGTGATTAGACAGGGCACCTGTGTCTTTTCCTGAATTTAAAGGAAATGCCTGTTTAGGTTTTTGGTATAAAGACCAGATCAAGCTATAGAAGCACTACTTTTCCTAATTCCCTTGAGTATAAATAAATACACATGCGCTCTTATTACACATACACATGAACACACCCAGTCACCAAAGAACAAGACTGTGGAATTATGAGAACAGAAAAAAAGAAAATCCTGTATGTTTAGGGTGCTTTGTTTTCAGGGCAATTTCTTGCTATACGTTATCCTGTAACTAAGTAAGTTGCCATTTCTGCAAAATGAACAGTGACAGACTTAGATCCTCGGTATTCAGATGGCCTGAGAATCATGAGATCATGAAGATCTAATCTTGATTGCTGCCTTAAGTGGGCACAGAAGGAACAACTTCACTAATGTTTGAACACATGTCCACTCCATATAAGGCTTCCCCTACTCACCCTAACCACACATTTGCCTTTTCCCCAACAGCCATCCACCTGTTAGACCCCAAAATAGCACTGATAGACTATAAAGTCACACGGTCTCTTTGTTCATCAAGATACTAAATATATGTTGAACTTTGTGTTCATAAGAGACAGAAAAACAAAGAGCTGGTACGAATCTTATGTGACAAATGTGGCTGGAAAGCACAATAAAACCAATATTCTATAAAACAGCAATAATGCCAACAGCAGGCCCACTTCCAGCACCATTCATTGCGTACTTCAATATTTTACATTAGCAAACTCTCAGGCAGATAACCTAGGGCCCAGTACATAGAAGAGATATTGAGTAGGCACTAATATGAAATATTTATGCGAAAAACACAAACCATGACTATACTGTTTAAATGACACAGATGAATCATGTGATTAGTAAATGAGAAGATGCTGAAAGAAGAGATTAATTTTTCAACACTCTTTGAGTTTGTACTCAAATGCACAATGATAGAGAATTAAATGTTACTCTAAAAAGGAAAGCTTCATTTACATCAAGTTATGACAGTAAGTTCATGGAATTGTTAACAAGAAATTGGTTTAAGAGGAGATGCTCTAGAAAAAAACCCCATAAATATAAGGAAGATATTTTGTCATTAAATGAGACCAAATGCAGAAGAAATTATTGTTAATGTTTATTTATTTTTGAAGAAAGACAGTGAGCGAGAGAGCGAGCGTGAGCTGGTGAGGGGCAGAGAGAGAGGAAGACAGACAGGCTCCATGCTGTTAGCACACAGCCTGTCAAACCCATGGGCCATGAGATCATGACCTGACTCAAAGTCAGACCTTTAACTGACTGAGCCACTCAGACGCCCCAAATACAGAAGACACTAGATGGAACTTTTAACGGTTGTGGGGTTTTTTGTTGTTGTTGTTGTTTTGTTTTTCTCCCCAAGGCTACAAATTGCCAGGGCATTTTCCCCTGTGATAAACAGACTTCACTTTTTTTTTTTTTTAATTTTTTTTTTTTCAACGTTTATTTATTTTTGGGACAGCGAGAGACAGAGCATGAACGGGGGAGGGGCAGAGAGAGAGGGAGACACAGAATCCGAAACAGGCTCCAGGCTCTGAGCCATCAGCCCAGAGCCCGATGCAGGGCTCGAACTCACGGACCGCGAGATCGTGACCTGGCTGAAGTCAGATGCTTAACCGACTGCGCCACCCAGGCGCCCCAGACTTCACTTTTAATGGAACCTCTCATATACATTTTTATGTATACTTTTTTCATTTCATAGCAAAGGTAAAATGCATTCTTTAGAATGTAAACATTTCAAGGTTTTTTTGGTTTTTTTTTTTTGGCACCATCGACCTTT